ACTGTGGAAGCAAAAATATCAATCCTTTGTAGAAACAAAAAACTGAGAAAACAACATAAATAGCCAAATATAGAGCAACTAACTATTTGGTGTAGTAGTTAAGGCATCAGGCTAGAAATCAGGAGATCGTGAGTTCTAGTCCCACCTTAGGTACAAAGCCAGCTAGGTCACTTTCTCTCAGCCCTAAGAAGGAGACAATGGCAAACCACTTCTGAAATCTTGCCAAGAAAAATGCAGGGACTTGTCCAAGCAGTCACCTGGAGTCAACACTGGCTCAAAAGCACCAAAAAAACAAAAACAAAAAACAGCTCAAACACTGCCAGTCTATTGATAGTATTGTACTTTTCCTTTCTATTGGCTAAAACCTCACAGTGGCCACCAGCTATAAAAAGATCCTTTAATGAAGTTCCTACACTTGTATGTAAAACAGCCAAGATTAAACATGAAAATGGTGTGATAAAGAAATGGTCTGATTACCCAAAGAAAGCATCACTATGAGAACTGCTTCTGCTTTGAAGATGCTGAAGTTTACTAAATAATCTTGGATCATCATTCTCTTTTTCCCCCCCAAGGACTGTGTCTTTTCTGGTCATAGATTTTGAATGGGATTCTGAAGTTACTATGGGTATTCCCATAAATGAACAAAAATATAGTTGGTATGATAAAAGCCCAACTTACAGGGTCCACTTCTTTTAGTCAAAACATTAGTTCAGACTTTACCCCTAAATAACAAAACTGTTTCCAGAACTGTCTTGATAATTGATGTAATTTACACATTTCACATAATTATGCAAATAGCATACCTTACTTCAAATTCCTTAAAGTTTTACTGTTACATTATGGCAGTTTAATACAGTTAAATAAAACAGGTAAGATATTCATTGAATTATTTCATTTTTATTAGTGCATGAACTCAGTAATACTCAGTCAAGCAGTAGGTACCTTAACTGTTTTGACATGTTTTATTTATAAGATTCTGATGCTGGTCTGCCTGTGCTACCTACAGTATATCATCATCAGTGCCTACTGTTTCAGAGTTATCTGCAAGTAAGACTATGCAGCAATCAAGACTGCCAGGTTAATAAAGGAAGACTGCAGACTGGTAGCTTGGCACCGCAGAGCTTGTGTCAGAAAAGGAAAAACTCAGAATAAACTGAGAAGTGAAGGATGATACAAAAATGAAAGTTAGTTTTGTTCAAAATAAAAGGAAAAGAAAAGAATTGGTATACCAGCTGTTCAGTGAAGATGGCAAACTGGTAAGAGCAAAGGAAAGATAAACCTGCTCATATTTGATTCACTCTTTTCCAACAAAAAGTATGTATTCCATCAGGAAACTGTGAAGATCAAGATGAAGAACAAGAGGTGAAGGCCGAGATTATTAAAAGATGGTCAGAGAATGCCTCTTGGAGTTTAATACTTGGAGACCAGATGACCTGCATACTGGATAACATACTGAAAAAAGTAGCTTATGGTTTGGTTATGTACTATTCTTGAAAAATCTTGGTGAAGTGCCAAAACAATTCGAGGAGAGGCAATGTTCTTCTTGTCTTCAAGTGGGGAAAAGGAAAATCTAACTATAGACCAATCAGTCTAACATTAAAACCTGGGAAGATTCTAGAGCAGATCATAAAGATAATGATTGGTAAGCATCTTGAAAACAATGGAATAAATACCATTGGGTTAGCATGGATTAACCAAGAACAAATCTTCACCAAATTAGTCTCATGTTATTTTTGAAATAAATTCACAGAACAGCAACAAAGATGATCAAGAGACAAAAAACCTAAGTCGTATAAAAAGAGTCTGAAGGAAGTGGGAAAGTTTAACCTTGAGGAAAAAAAAATTGCGGTGGGAGGAGTATGATAGTATTCTGAAACATCTGAAAGGATGTCATACAGAAGAAAGTCAAAACCAGTTTTCTTCCATTTCAGAATGCTGCACACAGAATAATGGATTTAAGTTACAGGACAGCACGTTCTGACTGAACATTAGAAAAATTCCTAATAAGAACAGTTCCACTGTGGTGGAACCAATTATCTACAGAGATGATGGACTTGTCTTTGTTGATGTTTTCAAGTGCAGGCTAGATACCTGTCTATGATGGTTTAATTTGAATTTCTGCACTGAGCAGGGATTGGATTTGATGACCTAAATGGTCCTTCCAACTATTAGGGTTCTACCAGAAATCTGCACCACTCCCTGAATAGTGAAGAATACAGGTAGTCCTCAGGTTATGATCATTCAAAGTTGTGACAGCGCTGAACAAATGGTACTTACGAAGGCTCCTCATAGTTCTGGTTCTTGTAGTCTCCCCGCAGTCACGTGACTGTGATCCGAGTGCTCAGCTCACAATTACGAGATCACAGTGAGCCGCGGTCATGTGACTGCAATTTCCGACACTTCCTCCAGGCTTCCCACAAGCAAAGTCAATGGGGAAGCCGGCAGAAAGTTGGGGTCACATGAGGTCCTTGCTTAATGACCTGCACAGTCCTTAACAATGGCAACCAGGACTGCCAGAATTGTCACTGCTAAGTGACATGGTTATGTGACATCACGCTTTATGACTGCTTCACTTAGCGACAGCAATTCAAATCCCAATTGCCATCATAACCCAAGGACTACCTGTATGTATTCAAGTTACAACAGCAAGAATACACTTGAGTTACAAATGATTATAGGATCTTCCTGTTTAGTGAATAAGTTGTATTTCTGAACATTAAGTTGAGTCCTTTTGACTACTGATTTACATTTGCTTGAATAAAAAGAAATCTAATCTGACCAAAGTCTGGCTAAAAGTAGAAAATTATGATTAAATTGCATGCTAAGAATATTTAAAAGAGGAGAAAAATAATATACCCTAGAGAGGTGGAAACTCTTGCCCATGTATTCCTATGGTGCCCCTTAAATGATAGCCTGATTTGCAATTTTTTCTCTTATTCGCTCTCCCCAATTTATTTCCGAATTTGAGAGTCATATAGATACATTTTATGTTCTTTATTTTTTACAGAGGTTAACTCTTCACTCACATTCCAGGTTGCAAAATATGTTTACTGAGCCACACAAATGTACAAGTTTGTATGTTGCATAACTTTTTTGGTAATGGGTTTTCTATAGCAATTTATTTCCCTTTTCTTATCTGTTATGCTGGTCAAAAACTATCATAAAGAAACTTCAATTTCAAAGTTACTATATGTGAAAGTTGGAATCAACAATTGAATTTTTAGCACAGATAATGTAGGTGAAATGCACTTAACAGTTTTCTACTTATTAGGTTTCTTTCTTCATTTGAAGTTTTATTCATTGTAATATCTTTATATAATTGTTTTTATTAGCAATGTTATCTTGAATTACTCAGTTTATTATTGCCTTCTGAAATGGAGATTTACTTGTTCCCTTTAGCTGGGAATTATTTCCTTTAGTTGGGAACAAATGTAAATTGAAGGGAATTTGAGCTAGCAAAGAAGAACAGGAACCCTTACTAAAATTATATTCTATTCGTCTCAGGTACTACAGGTACTATGCATGCTAGAAAGGCACATACTTTTTGTCGTCATGTTCTAGTTTTTCAGGCTGTGAATGTGGAATGTTTGTTCTAGATCAGCCTACCTTGCTCCTGTCCATTCCTGCACCTGATGAAGGAGTCTTTATATAAGAAAAGTTATATTCATCCATTAACCTAGAGGTGCTACTTTGTTCTTCAGCTAATTTTACAAAATGCTAATCTAACATCACATTATTAAAGCCAGAAATTAAGATAATTTCCCCGAGAAAAGTCAACATTTTGTTCTCCATTAATTTTACTACACTACACTATGAAGGCTATGACTTTTGGTTAGAACTATTCTCTAACAGTATATTTTCTTTAAAGATTTGATCTGCCACACTCTGCATCGTAAAATATCCTTTTTCATAGAGATGACCACTCTTGCAGTAACTATGCAAATCACCGACTCAGAAATATTTCTTAATAATATACACACTAGTAACTTGTTGCATATTGATAATTCAAGTTTAAGAAATAAATCAGATATCCTGACAAAACTAACTCAGTCATGTCAAGTAACCACTACAACAATAATACATGTGGTCTTTAGCACAGGTTAGCAGCCTATAAGTTCTTTGAAAATAAAATAATGAAAATAAATGTAAAGGCTATTCAACCAGTTTTTAATAGAAGTTACAGTATTTCTTATTCTGGTATGAATTCTCCGGAACTTCCTGCAAACATACACAGGACTGTCTGACTTATTGAAGTCTGTATAACTTTAGTCGGTCAAAAATACGCCCCATTCCACTTCTAACAGGTTTAATTAACAACAGTCTTTTGCTTCTCTATTAAACATTTGCAATAAAAAATCTAAAGTAAACAGATCAGTTCTAGGAGAGCTATGTTCTGCTGCTCTTAGTTATGAATCTGATTGTGCTACAGTATTGTAACGTACAGATTTTTGGACACTGAGCATAACGCTGCGGCATCGGTACAATACTACTGAAGTCTGGAGACCATCGCTTGGAAACAGTTTCTCCCTAAACCTCCCCCACCCCCGACACACACTCTTCCCGTCCGCTAGGAAGCTCCGTTCGAAGGGCAGCCCATCGCATTTCCACGTCGGTCAGCCTTCCAAATCCCCCGCCAGCCAATCCAACCTACCAGGGCAAGAGGCGGGAGGCTTTCCTGGGCCTGGAGAATTTAGCTAAGAACGTCCCGCGCCCAGGCTGGAACTGTTACATGATGCAATCTCCCTCACAGGCCGAAGGGCAAGATTTGGGCAGAACCCGTCTTGCTTTCCGCCCACCACCCAAAGACTAAGCGCCACAAGCGGGCAGCCTTCGAGCTCGGGGTCTGGTCAGGCATTCAGAAGGGAGGCACCCGGCCGAGGACGTGAGAGGCTGCCTTTTGTCTCCGGGCTGGAAGGCGCCCGGGCAGCAGCTCCCCCCGTCCTGCTCGGCCATGACCAGAGGGAGCGGACGCGCTGGGGTTGGAGCGCGCAAGCCCTTACCTTACGCCCGCCTCACGCCGCTGCCGTAGCCCGGGACAAGGCGAAATGGAATAAAGGAAGCGCCGGGGCTCCCCGCCTCGGCAGTCTCACCCTGGGTCGGGGAGCGGGACCAGATGGGTCCCCCACCCCGAGTGAAAGCTGCATGAGCCAATAGGCAAGCAAAATTGAGGGAGGGGCGGGGCCGAGAGAACAAAGGAGGGAGGGGGCAGCCCTGAAGAAAAAGTGGTGGTGGGTCTTCGGTAGAGCCCTCCCCCATCCCCACAGAGACTGGATACGCCCTCCAAGCGCTAGACGTTGCCTGGGATGCGGCCGGCGGCGCCGTGCCCCCTCCCCAAGGCGGGGGGGGGTTCATAACCCCTGTAACGAGCCCAGGAAGCCGGGGGCCAGAGTGAAGCATGGCTCCTAAGCCCAGGAAGCCCTGGCGTTTCCAGTGGCTTTCGCCTAGTTAGAAGCTGCTGCGCTACCTTGACTTGTAGCATGACCCGAAACTGAGGTGGGGGCAGGAAGACAACGAGAGTTCATGCTGGGAGAAGGGGTTGCGTTTCAGTCTCGCTGCTGAGATGACAGAAGTAATGTAGAAATCTAGAAGCTGCTTCGGCGCTGGTCTGCTGCGTCTCTATTGGTCCAAAGCTCCCAAACATGCTCTCAGATGGGGCTACACATCGGCCTCCTTTCATCTAGACGACTTAATCAAATCCCTCCTTGACTTAAATGTGTCCTAAATAAAGTAGCATAGGGATTTTCATGATTCCTAAAGGCCTCATTTAGACAGAAAGGCTTGACTTTTTAAAGGTTTGGCATGTCCCTATCGGAAGAAGTTAAGTAAAACAAAAGATTTCCCCCTCAGCATATGTTCTCCCCCCCCCCATACCATTAAGACTGCATCTTTTGATAAATTTGGCTGTAGTGTGGAAATGGTGACTTTTTAAAGGTTTGGCATGTCCCTATCGGAAGAAGTTAAGAAAAAAAAAAGATTTCCCCCTCAGCATATGTTCTCCCCCCCCCCCATACCATTAAGACTGCATCTTTTGATAAATTTGGCTGTAGTGTGGAAATGGAATTGGTGGCTGGCTAAAGCCTCAGGCTAAGCGAGAATATGTCCTGAATGGGCTGGGTGGGGTTTTTTTGCCATCAATAGAACAGCAATCTCTGCAATCCAGGAATCTTCTAAAGCTGCTGGACTGAGCATGTTTGTGGAACCTGAACCTCTAGCCCTGCCAACAGGCACTGTCAACGTACATGCACGTTGGTGAATTTCAGGTGAAATCTGACTTGATGCATCCTAGAAAAAAAAGTTAAGGAGCTTAGAGTAGGGTATGAATCCAATAAATACATAAATAAACTTGGCTAGAAAGAAAGCTGACATATATACGGAATTTACTACAAAAAGTATTCCTTTGCATACTGCAGAAAGTAGATCTATAATAGGCATCATTTTTAGGCATTTCGCTAACCAGCAATAGTGGAGATTTGGGGTGAAAAGAAAATTGAATTTCCAAGAACAGAGTGAGGAGAGATCACAGAAATGTGGAGTATAATATTTACTGAATAGTGAGGCAGGACCTAAAGACGAAAAATACTACATGTACAACAGTCACAAAGATTCTGTAATCTCACTTGAGAGAAACCTAATCCATACAATTACCTCACCATGCCATAAGCATAACTTATCTTCCATTTCAAGAACACAGGTCCTCACTCATCCCAGGATTAGCCTACAGTAGAGGTATCCTTGGGAATGATTCTTGTCCTCCACAGCAAAAGTGGGTTTTTCTTCACATGTTTCCAGTGAAATTTCCACTCCTCAGTCTCACAGGAGACCCTGGATAGCCAGTTGAACTATCTGTGGTCTGAAACAGGAAATCCCATGCAAATGGCTGTTCCACTGAGTGATATGATTGGGAAGGATGTGCAACCAAGCTCTCTCCTTGCTTTCCTTTTTCTTGCTTTTTCAGTCTATGCTTGTTGTCCCTGGAAGGTTGTGTGCTCGATCCAATGTGAAACCTTCCCATTCCAGCTTCCAACATGAATCTGAAGCCAGTCCCAGTTCTGGATCCCTCCCTGTTGTGGTTTTTAAAGAATGGTTGAGGCACTTCCACTCCCTTCCAAGATGTGATGGAGCATTATGTGGAGGAAGGACAAGCAGTCACTCTCCTGGAAATACAGGATGAGAGGAAAATCCTGAAAGAGATCTACTGCAGTCAGTCATAGAAATATTGATGTCTTCGCAGAGTTTAGGGCCAAGGATTATGACCATGCCAGATCAAAACAAACTATTTTCGTCATGAATATATGTTGTTGCCCATAAAGCTCCCTTGAGTAACAAGCCCACCTTGTGCTCCTACTTGCATCAGTTTTATCAGATTCTGCATGATCAAAGTGGTGCTAAAGTGTGTTATGTGTAGCTTTTCCTGGCCAGAGGCAGTAAGAGCATTGGATCTTGCAAATCCATGTCTAAATCAAGAGGTAGTGGTCGTTGGTCACCCAAATCTTGAGATGATCAACATTAAAAACCTTTTTCCAGAGCATGCTTCAGGTATATTGGGAAAGCGTCTCCACATTTCCAGGGCCACTGCCACACGATGGTAGCCCACCTTCTGCAGACTTCACTCTGTGGATTCCAGGTTGCTTGTCCTTCCCAACCATGTAGCCTGCAGGTTTGAAGGTTGAGTCATGGCAGCTGGACTTCTTTTCTTTTTGGTTAGAGACGTTTCGCTACTTGTCCAAGCAGCAGACTGAAGAAGCTGCTTGGACAAGT